CCCCTACCCACTTTGATGAATTTTTCAAATTTTGCCTTGGGGCGGAGTTATCTTTTCACAGGGTGGATAAGATACACTTTAAGCACCTAATTTCTTTATTTAAACTAAGCTGTTGCTGCTTCAACCTTTTTAAAAGATAATATTTCAGACTTATTGACTATATTTTTGGGTTTTTTTAAAGGGTGACGACGTGTTCATCTGGGTTATTTTCTTCAACACGTGAAGTTTAATATTCAAAAACAAGAATTTATCAATCATTGGTAGTGAAATAGTAGATATAGTATTTTGAATCACTGTTAAAGCTGCTTAATTTTTACAAAATGCAAAAATAAWATATTTTTGGTCACGTTCAGTTTTGATCTTTATTATGTGTTTGCAGAGCTCTTAAGGCCAAAAGGGATGCGTACGTTTCTCGCTTGAATCAGATTTATCGCAACAATCTTGATAAGGTGAGTTCCAACCCTTTTTATTTCAAATATAACTTTATTTATAGATTAAAAAAAGGAGTTGTGTGGGGTAAAAAAATGTATAAAAATAATATCTGCTTGTTTTCAGGCTAAAATCCAAACCATTCAAGGTTTTGCCAGGTTCACAGATGACCCTGAGCCCACAGTGGAGGTCAATGGAAGGAGGTTTACGGCGCCTCACATCCTCATCGCCACCGGAGGGCAGCCTTCTGTCGTGAATGATGATGAAATCCCAGGTAACTGCCTTTACTGACGTTCAGATAAGTCTTTAAATAAAACTTATTTTAGTTGCCACAGTGTGTAATTTGTTGTTGTTGTTCACAATTTTAGGAGCAAGTTTAGGCATCACTAGCGATGGCTTCTTTGAGCTGGAAACCCTCCCAAAGTAAGTTGTGTGTTGTTTTTTTGTGGATACCACGAGGAAATTAAGGCTTTGATCCCCTGACAGACGCAGTGTGATTGTGGGTGCTGGTTACATCGCTGTGGAGATGGCGGGGATTCTCGCCACCCTGGGGTCCAAAACGTCCCTCGTTATTCGTCAGACCTGCGTAAGAACCAAAACGAAGTCCAGCGGGCAGCTTCCTCTGCGCCGTGCTGTCGTTGAGCGGCACGTCTCTGTGTGTTCGTTCTGCAGGTGTTGAGAAACTTCGACGCGTACATCAGCACAAACTGCACCAAGGAGCTGCAGAACAACGGCATCGATCTGTGGAAGAACTCTCAGGTGAAGTCTGTGAGTAAAACGGACCGAGGCCTGGAAGTTACCATCGTCACCAAAGACCCAGAGAAGAAGAACGGCGAGGAGAAGATCAGCACCATCCAGGAAGTGGACTGCCTTCTGTGGGCCATCGGCAGGAAGCCCAACACGTCYGGACTCAACATCGGCAGCTTGGTAACCATCCACACCGTCAACTCAGTTTAAACTGGTCACAACATGGAAAACTACCCTTATTCAGAAACAGTGCTTTAATGAAGAAGCTGCAGTTAAACAGTTACTAAGTTTTACAAAAAACTTTMAAGTTCAGTCCTGTTGTGACCGCTGGACATCTTGTGTGAATCCTGCATTCGTAGTAAGATGATCCACTTTTCTGTTGTACGTTTTTCATCATCTCTTTCTGCAGTTCTGCTATTTCAACAATTCCTGTATCAAAACTTTCAGCTCCTTCGGGACATTCTGGCTGTGACTTCTGCTATTTCAGCAACTTATACTTTTTGAGATATTTAGCCTTTTCTGCCATTTTTGTTCTCAGTGAAAATGAACGGAGCTGTGTTCCACATCCTTACAATCCTTCTAAATAGTTAAACTTTAAACCTTTTGTTCTGGTTCAGATTTTTTTACTTTGCGGAAATTTTAGCGTCCTTCAGCTTATTAGCTTTTTTCCTGCTTTTCTGTTTTAATTATTTTTGTGTGCTTTTTTCAACTGCTTTTTGCAATTTGAGCTACTTCTTAGCTATTTTTAGTTTGTTTTATCTTTTTTTTCAGCTAAATGACAATTTTTATGATAATTTCAACTATTTCTTTCAGTCGCTTAAATCAGCAAACATGCTCTTTATGCTTCTTGGTTCTGGATTAAGATTTTTTTCTGCTGTTTTTACAGCTTTTTTGGGCTGTTTTACAATATATTGCAAAACTTGTGTACGTCTTTTTTAACATTAAAAATATTTCTGCATTAAGTGTCCACGCTGCATTTTCATAGAAAATTTAAATTTTCTAGCTTAGAACGAATAGCTTTATGTCTGTTTCTGCTCCTTCAGGGTGTGGATATCGATAAAGGAGGCCATATTGTTGTGGATGAATTCCAGAATACGACTCGATCGGGGATCTATGGTCTAGGAGACGTTTGTGGCAAAGCTCTTCTCACACCTGGTAGAAAACGACACAAATCACTTTCAGTAATGCAGAACTGATAAACAAGATGTTTTAATGCTGTCGGATCGTAACAAAGAAATCACTTTTCCTTTGACAAAATTCTGGATTTAATTATATTTTTAATGTGGAAACAAGGAGACATTTTAGCAGAAGCATGCTGGGAGCACAATGAAAATTGAAGTTTAGACTTGGGTCTTACAGTTTCACTTCTTTTTCTGTTCACTTTAGAGTTCAATACATGTGTTCAGGAGATTTCACAGTACTRTTTGAAATGTTTTGGTAGCACATGTATTGTTATTTAAAGCTAATTAATGTGTGTTTTTGGGGCAGTGGCCATTGCTGCTGGCAGAAAGTTGGCACACAGGCTGTTTGACGGCAAGAAGGACTCCAAGTTGGATTATTCTAGCATCCCAACAGTTGTGTTCAGCCATCCACCTATTGGTACTGTGGGCCTCACAGAGGGTGAGTACTCCTCCTGTAGAAACGCTTCATCCAAAGTTACTTTTACAGGAAGCCCCTGCTGAAAATAAATAACTAAATATTAAAAGCAACTTCAGAATTCCATGCTTTAAAATGTACAAAACGTTTAATTTGTGCAAAATAAATTCCCATGCAGCCTGACTCAGTCATATGTTGTGTTCATGTTTGTTTCATAGATGAAGCCATTAAAGCCAACGGAAAAGAGAACGTGAAGATCTACAAAACTTCTTTTACTCCGATGTATCACGCCATCACRAGCAGGAGGAGTCTGTGCATCATGAAGCTGGTGTGTGTGGGCAAAGAGGAGAAGGTAGGAACCATCGCTTCTGTTCAGAGGGGGAAAAAATTTTTAAGGTCTTTTTATTTTTAAATCTGTCAAGCACAAAGTATTTTTTAGATTCTTTTAAAAAGCTGATGTCTGTCGTCTCCAGGTGGTGGGCTTGCACATGCAGGGCCTCGGCTGTGACGAGATGCTGCAGGGATTTGCTGTGGCCATTAAAATGGGTGCCACCAAAGAGGACTTTGACAACACTGTTGCCATTCACCCAACTTCTTCTGAGGAGTTTGTTACGATGCGTTAATGCAAACCTGACTCTCACTGTCTTGGATTTGTTTTTGACAAGCAGAACACATCAGGATTCCCTCTGTGCTATTCTCACCTCAACTCAGTGACATGCTTTATAAATCCACTTTCATTTTCTGCAACTTAAATGACCTTGACTGAATATTTGCTATGGCTTTTTTTATTGATTGAGTTTTGGCCCTCTGATTGTATTGTAGGTCTTGAATGCTGGTTAAAAACTCTTGAGTTCAGTTGTAATGATTATGCAATGGAAGTAAGAAAGCCTGCAGATTACTGCAGACGGTGAGTGTGTGTGTGTGTGTGTGTGTGTGTGTGTGTTTGACTTGTCAGTGATTTGTCAAATTTTAAAACCCTGCAGCTCTATAGTGCACCTGCTTTATGCAAAATGACTCATTTCTAATGCACTGTAAAGATGCAATAAACCTGCAGCTAATTCTGGGATTATTTTCTGTGCATTTGGAGACCACTCCCTCTTTTGTTACTCCACTGCAAAGGATCCCTTCTTATTGTATAGCTGATTTAACTTGGGTGATGATGGAAGCACTTTTCTATTTAGTCAGAGGAATGTCTATCTGCTCAGGCTTAGATAAGACTTTTTTTGTTAGCTTAAAGTACATGTTGACAATTTCACATGTTAAAAACAGTGACAGACTACTACAGGGTTAAAGAGCAGTGCTGAATCCTTTGATAGCTGTTAATAAAAATAAAATTATAGCCCAGCTACCTAATAAGTGCTTTATGTTCAGTTACATAATGTATGAATGTATTGTTGCAGAATTTTCAAATGTATTCATGCTTGTTTTTTAACTTCTGTATTTTCTGGAAAATCAATGTTTCACATGCAAAATTTAATCTATGGGATATGAAGAAAATTATGTAATAAAAGCTATTTAAAAAGAGACAAAAGAGGTAGTTAACTTGACTCCATTTCGTATTTTTAGGCAATCCTTGCATAACATTTCATTATGTTTAAACTAAAGCTTTCAGTTTAGAGTATTATCTGTTTGAGTGTTTACTTTCTATTTCTATTATTAACTAGAGATACTATTTCTTTTCCTCTTGAAATACATAACATTTCGTGAGTTTACGTCATTAAAAACGTAAATAAGACTAATGTAGATTTCTAGTTGTTTTCCTGTTTATGTACTGACTCTCACTCCAGTCCGGTAGGTGGCGGTAACGTGCCTGAAAAGGCTGCTACTTAAAAAAAAAAGTCTGCGTCACTTTGCCGTATTGGTCACGTGATTCTGTTTGTAGCGTTAGCGGCGTAGTTTGGAGCGCTTTACCATAGATTTCCAGAATGGACACCGACTATGAACAACCAAAATCATCATAGGAAGGTATTTACGTGTGTCAGCAACTTCATTTGCACGCTTTGTTTGCTAATTTTATGTAAGTTCGTATTTTGTAAAACACTTTAGYGATAGCTTAATATGCTAATAGTTAGCTGAACGGTGGCTTGTCATTCAGCCGTGTTGGTGGAGCAGAGAAGTCGGCTTCAGTCAAGCGGTTCYGACCAATCGAGCGACAATTATTTACTTTTACATAAATGTCAGCTGTATTTCACATGCGAGCACGCTAAACTTTTGTAATTGAGAATACTTTATCAACCTGAGAGGGTATTTTTCAGGGTTAGTTTGTCAGAAGACAATGAGGTTAAGCTGAGAAGTAGTAATGCTAACTCAAAGGTGACCGGGATGTTTGTGTTTCTGTCCAGCAAAGTTTTGCACKTCATCATCGAGGATGTTACCCAGCCTGGCGCACAGACCATGGCAARCCTTCTGCAGAGTGTCCCTGCAGCACAGATCGTCCCTGTCCCATCGGTCTGTCAGGCAGCTGTGTCACGGTGAGCTGGCTCCTCGGGCAGCTCTTACAGCTAATCTCCGCCCTGATCTCACCTTAAACCTGCCTTGTACTAAAGGYGAGCTGTTATAACACTGTGTTGCACAGGTTGCCAAAGTGGAGGCATTCGCAGCTTTTGGTTCAGCCCTCCAGACGCCAGGGTTGCCTCCTTGGGTTTGGGTAAGGTCCAGTACTACTCTTCATCCGACAACAATAAAGATGGTCCCCCAAAGTCAGCACCAGGCCGAGCTCCTTCATCAGAAAAGGTGTCTGGTGCACCAAAAGTCACCCAAGGTACACCTAAATGTTTCCGTATAGTTGGTGAGATGTCTGATTTGAACTAAAACTGTTTTACTGTTCAACTTCAAAATGTACTACATCACAGGATAAACAACATTTATATATTTAAATCCTATGTCTGTTACCGATGTTAAGAAATCAGAGAAGTCAACAGGCAGTAGAGCTGGGCGATATGATCAAAATTTTATATCACAGTATTTTCAACATTTTCACCGGTTTCGCAGTATTTGACGGTATTTTTCTTTTCATCACAGCTCAGCTGATAATAAAATGTAAAAACCCTGCTTATTGACTTTTTTCTTTTACCGTACCTCTGTCTGTGTCACTGTTTCCCTCCTCTGTGTCTGTTCTTCTCTGACTGGTGGTTGGAGACAGTAGTCACGCATTTTGGTCCAGTCGTGAAGGAGGAGGGTTAAGAAAAGATTATGATCGGGTTTATTGTTTTATGTTATTTATTAAAGCTTATCAGCAYGACTCACCTTGCACACCAGTCAGTTCCAACTCCACTACGAACTACTTCCTGCAGGCTTTTCACAATAGAACCACGTTAAGTCTCCATCAGCATAACGTCTCATATTAACTAACCGCGTTAAATCTAACTGCACGTCACCGAAGAGGTGTTTACCACATTCAGCGACGACGAAAACGGGATGTTTTTTTTAAACGTCAGTCAATATAAGCAGCGGAATCACCACCCACTGCTGCAACAAACTGCTCCAAACATTAGCATGCTAACACACATAACGGTGCGGCAAGGAAAAATGTTCCCCGGAAACAACAGTTCACTGGCGGCCACAATGAAACTTTCCACTATTTAAACCRGAATGTCTGGTATTCAAAAAATTCATATCATAACAAAAATAAAAAACGGTATTTGGTACAAAACKGTATACTGCCCAGCAGTAACAGGCAGTACTGTATACAACGCAGATTTTTTTCTTATTTGGACTAATATGAATTTTCTATCCAGCAAAACTTCAATATGAGTTCCGTACTYAACTTAAATAAACACATACCCAATTCTGGGACAAACTTAAACACTTGGGAAATAAATACACAGAAATATGTTTTCCTGTTTGGAAATGAAGTAAACACAGTAATGGCCGAACAACAAATTCTAAGAAGTGGCAAATGTCCGATTATTTGCTCTACCTCTAATCCCATGTAAACACCAATACTAGGAAAACACTTAATGGTTTTTGTTCAAGTTCTTCCCAGAAAAATTGAAAACATTACCATTTTTGCTGTTTTAGGTAAATCGCCTCAGGGAATGACAAAAATTGAGACAATTCAAGTGAAAGGTAAACTGGTTTATATTATTTTAAATATATTTTTTTAGTTTGGTAATTACTATTTTTTTTATAAATAAATGATCTTTTATTGTCACACAGTTCGAGCTGTCCTCAAGAAAAGAGATTATGGAGCCAAATATACTCAGAACAACTTTATCACTGCTGTCAGAGCCATGAATGAATTTTGTCTCAAACCAAGGTAAGTCCTCTTTGACCTTGTTTCATAGTTTGTTTCTGTGATATGAAAACCATCTAATCTTGTGTCCTCAGTGCCGAGCAGAGTCTCTTCATCACAATACAAGCCATTTATTTTGTGGGTTAAGTAAGAACTCTGTTGTAATTCGCTCCTGCCACTGCTAAACTTYGGTTTATTCTCGTGTCTTTGTCTAACCCCCTCGTAACGTGCAGTGATTTGGAGCAGCTCCGTAAGATCAGAAGGCGCAGCCCCCACGACGACACGGAAGCTTTCACTGTGTTTTTGCGTTCCGACGTCGAGGCCAAGTTAGTGTCAAACTTTTCTGCTTTACACCTCAAGATCCCATCAAGTTATTCTTTAAACCACCATTTAAAAACACATTTTCTCTGGTGTTAGTTAATCAAATGTTTTTTCTTTGCGTGTTAGAGCACTGGATGTATGGGGAAGCCATGAAGCGCTGGCTCGAGAGAGGAATCTCAGGAAAGAGGTGGAGCGAGAATTTCAAGAGAGTAGGTTTTTTTTTTCCGCCTTAGTTTAGATTTTTATGAACACACAGCGGGTAAAATAAGTATTGAACACGTCACTATTTTTCTCAGTAAATATATTACTAGAGGTGCTAATGACATGAAATTTTCACCAGATGTCAACAACAACCCAAGTGATCCATACATACAAAGAAATCAAACCATAAATGTCCAGAAATGAAGTTATTTGTAATAATGTGGAATGGCACAGGGAAAAAGTATTGAACACATGAAGAAAGGGAGGTGTAAAAAGGCATGGAAAGCCAAGACACTAGGGCTGTGTATTGGCAAGAATTTGGCAATATGATACATATCATGACAGAGGGGTCACGATACGATATATCCC